CCCGACAAGGAAAATAGCTCCCTTGTGTCAAGCACCTGCCATGTGCCAGATGCCACCTGCGTGACCTCTTTTAATGCTCCTAACAACCCCCAAAGGGCCCCTTGCCCCCCATTTCATGGGTGGACCTGCTGAGCACGGCCAGGTGGAAAACTGGCCCAGAGGTTCGTGACTGGGAAGTAGCGGAGCCAGGGCAGAACTTGGGTCTCGCTGACTCAGAGCTGGTGCCTTGTCACTGCCCCACACTTCCCTTTCGCTGCCACCAGATGCAGCCCCAGACCTGCCAGGCGTCCCTGTGGGATCCCAGGCTGTGGGCCCAGCTCCCACCCGGCTCAGCGGGGACAGCGTGGGACTCTTCTCCGCAGCCCTGCCAGTGTGGTGGGCTGCGTAAGGCTAATTGGGGATGTCTATGCATTCCCCGGGGCCTTATCAATTTTCCTCTACATTAAAAAAAAATTTGTTGTTTTTAGTATGCAAAACTTTCCACCATCTGCTTTGCCTTGGCAGAGTGTTTGCTGAAAATATCTCTCTTCCTCTCTAATTCCCATAATGTCCGGGGGCTCTGGGAGCCTCTGAGCAGGGCAGCAGCAGCAGCTCACGAGAGTGCCTGCCAGGCTCCCTGGCTGCCGCTGCCCTGGTGCCAGGCAGGCGGGTGTTGTTGGGTCCAGAAGTCGCATCTCCCCACCTCTCAGCCAGAGAGGGGCACTGGGGTCTCTCCACTGATGGAACAAAGCGGGCCTGAAGGTGGATCCTAGAATCCAGACCCGGAGTAGCCGTCCAGGTGGTGTGTGATGAAACCCTGAGAGGGAGGTGCCCCGGGTAACGGAGAGAGGTGGTGGCAGAAGAGAGCCAGGCAGCCAGCCCCCCAAATCCCAGTGCAGGCCCGTGAGGTCAAGTGGCCAGTGTCCTGCCAGCCCCCTGGACCACCCCAGGCCAGGTGCTCCACAGGGCTGCAGCTGCCACACCTGTCCCTTCAGGCGTTCTGGAAAGACTTTACAAAAAGGAAGACTTCCCCCCACCTTCATGTGCCAAAACTCTTGAGTTTCCATGGAGACAGTCAAATTGCAAATTCATCCAAGAGTGAGCCAGGGGTGGGGGCTGGGGGGAAGCTGGCCGATCCCTGCAGAGGTGGGCATGGCTGGTGCTGGCTTTCATCTTTAGCAGCGGACAGCCCTTCTGGGCCAGGTTGGGGAAATCTCAGGGACGCCAGGCCCCATGCAAGGGGTCCAGGGGCTCAGGCCTCTGGAGGGGAGGGCCCTCCATCCTCCCGGCCTCGTGGCAAAGCCCAGGTGAATCCATTTGGTGACACCTCCTTGGGGAAGTTCTTGAGACAGTCTTCCTCCTGGGGTTTTCCGTCTCCAGCCTGAAAAATCAGATGTGAGCAGCATACAAGCATTCCTCACCCAGCTCTCCTAGACTCCACCTTTGGGGAATTCGAGGGGGAGAAGATCAGCCTCCAGACACACAGGGTTTTGTTGAGGATGGAAGAGCAAGGGCCAAAAGATTTATGAGGCTAAACGCTTTGTTAATAGACCTTAAAGATTCACAGTCACAGCTGCTGTGCAGGCAGGGAGGTGGCTACGGCAATCAAATGGCGAATTAGCCAAGGCATGGGTCTCACTGAGTCCTTGAAGCTCTGAGGCCTGGCCCCACCTCGAGATCCGAGACACAAGGAGCAGAGATGCTTGAGCCAAGGGAGATGCACCCCCAAAGGGAGTGAGTCTGGTCGGCTGGCTGTTTCTCTGCCCTGCGATGCTCTGTGAGCATCCTTGTCTCCTGGGGCTTTCCCCGCCTTCCGTGGCTGCAGCCCTTTGGAGTCTGTAAAAGGAACAGGCCAACCAACTGTAACATGAAGAGGTTTTATTTTTTCAAAATTTTGTGCAACATAAGAGCCCCGAGGGATCTAGGCGACATGGCACCCGAACCCACCTCCAGGGTTGGTGCTTTGGACAAGGCATGCCCCCCCCACAACGAAGACTGCTCTCCCGGCGTGCAGCCCAGCACGGCCGCCATGCAGTTTAACCCCATGCCCACTCCCAACCTAAGGCTGCGATCGGGTGCGACAGGTGACGAGAGGGGAGGAGAGTAGAGAAATGTGATCAATGAGCTTGCCCCTGTGACCCAGGCCCGGGGACACTCCTTCCCATTGTCTCTTTGGAGTCATTGGTACTCTTGTGCTTTTTTGGCATCTGCCTGTTAGCACTAAAGGATGCTGGCACCATTTTAACGCAGTGGAGCCCCAGGTCCCCCCTGCCCCAGATTTATGGAGATCCTGCACGTCAAGCATGGGAGAGATGGGAACTCCAGGTCGGAGAGGAGGAATAGATCATCTGTCCTTAAGTGTCTCTGCCAGAGAAATGGGGAAACCAACGTGAGACCAGTCACCGTGCTCTCCCAAGGGATTCTGGCCCACCACCTCGCGGCTGCTGGCCCCACCCGCCCCCCGCCGCTGGGGGTGAGCAGGGGGCAGATCCTCCCTGAGGCCTTTGCAGCTGCCTCCCGTGCCTCCCACTCCCTCTGTCTGGGGACCCACGGGGTTGGTGTTTAGTCAGTCAGTGACTCAAAAACACGTAAATGCTTCTAGAACCGACACCAATTGTGTCCGGTCTCGGTGGAATCACCATCATAGAAATCTGGTCCAGGACCTGAAAAACAATGGCAAAGTCAGGCCTTTACTTGTATTTCTCAAATACTATGAAAGAGGCATATGAACCCCCGCACCCCAGTCCCTGTCTGTTATTGATTCTACATCACAAAAGCCCAAGAAGCCCTCCTTGAAGACGGGAGGACGAGAAACGGGGCAGAAAGGGCAGAATCCTGAAGCACAGAGAAGGCACAGCTGGGAACAGTGAGGTTAGCCTCGCTCTTGCCCCACCCACGCAGCTCAGGCTCTGCCGGAGAAGCACGCCAGCCTGATTCAGGGTGCGATTTGGCCCCTGCCGGAAAGGAACCTCGATTCTGCTGTGGGGGACACATGCACAAACACGTACATCAGCACATGGTTGGTGCAGGTGCGGCAGAATGCACAGGGCACCCGGAGGAGGTGGCATCCACCTGAGCCAGGAGAGAAGCGGTGGGTGAGGCGCCCTGGGCGAGGTGGGCAGGAGGTGCTTGCTGACGCTTTGGCAGGAGCTGCAGACCGGTGGGGCCGGGGGACCCTGGGCCAGGACAGCAGGCCCTATGGGACGGGGCTGGACAAACAGACAGGAGCTTGGGCTTGATCCTGTAGAGTATGAGGAGCCTTTGCAAAGGGGTGAGTAGGACTCGTGTACTCGCTGGAGAGAGGGGTGGATGGGTATTCTGTGTGGGCCAACATGTTGAAATACCTCTGCGAGGACGGACAGAAGGACAGACCGCTGTCCGAGGGGAGCCCTGCTTCCTGCTGGTTGTTAATGCAGTCTCAGCCTCCTCCGCTCACGCTGCTCCGGAGGGGTCAGATGAAACCTCTTAGCCACCCCTGGTGTAGATCAATTTTGTTTCCAATCTCCTCTCCCACAAATGGGTCCCTCTGGCACTGGGTTGTTTGGCAGGTTGAAGAAGATAATGCTCGCTGGGTACCCAGCACAGCGCCTGGCGGGGAGCGCTCAACCCTCCTAGCCGCCCTCTGCGACCAGCGCTCTGCACCCCCTGCACTAACCCCTGGTTCTCACTGTCCCATCGCCGAGTGAGCCAGTCCCCTGTGAGAGCTGCTTCCCTGCAAGCCCAAGCCTTGCTGCGCAGTTGTACCTGTAATAATTACATCATTTAGTTAAAAGTTATGTAAAGTCATGAAAAGAATCAGAAAAGACAAAGAATTGTTAAAACCGAGACTTTGGAAAGCCTTCGTAGCAGCCACTTGCTTAAAATAGCTGTTGAATTAGATGTGGGCAGGACAACTGTAAAAACAGGAGGAAGAAATGGGAAGGTGGAGGATTCTGCCCTCGTCCCGCTCTGCCCCCCCCACCTCCCGCCCCCAGCTCGGCTCCAGCTCTGGTGTGCAGACGCGGGGCTGGCCTCGCAGACCGCCGCGTGCGCGCAGTGCAGGCCTGAAAGGCCAGGTGGGCCCAAGCCCGACGGAGCGCCCAGGCTCTGCGGCAGAAGATTGGCGAATGGATGTACATTTGTATGCTTCAAGTTAAAATAGAATGTTTAACATATGAATATATCCCGTGTTATGACTCCCGCTGGTGACAAAGCAGCCAAATGTGGTTCCTTTTAGTCCAGAAAGAGGATTTCTACCACAGTGGGTGTTGACTGTGAAGGGTGTTCTCCTCTCCCCTCTCCTGGGGCTCCCACCCCATGGGCCAGGCTCCCTTCTGCTGCACCCGAGAGACCCCGCTGGGAGTTACCGGGTGAACCATGATGAGAGCCCGGCCTGCCGGCCCCCAGGTCCGTCCTGCCGGTGGGATCGGAGTGGTCGGCTGTGGAGCCGACTGCCAGGGTTGGACCCTGGCTGCTGCACTTACTGCACTGAGCAAGTGCCTCAGTTTCCTCACCTGTAGAATGGGGGCCATGCTTTTCCGACCTGACAGGGTCATTCCGAAGTGTCAGTGGGTTAGCACGGGTAAAGCACCGGAGTGTCCCGTAGGAGTCGGCGAGGGCTGGCACTGCCATAACGACACAGTGACGCCTCGTGCCTCTTGGCGTGGCCAGGTGCAGGGCTCCGAGCACGGGCGCGTTCACCGGAGGGGATCGTCGGCGCCTATCGGGGTGGCAGACTTCCGATTCCACCATGGGAAGTGGGCACCATGAGGAGATGGCGAGTTCTTCCCACTGGTCCTGGTCACGCTGGGCCCAAGTTCCAGCCTCCTCACCTCAGGACTCACCTCTGATTGGCAGAAAGGGGTGGCCTGCTGCCCCATCCCCAGGTCATCGTTCCTGTGCCCCGAACACACAGGCCAGCTGAGGCTCTGTGCCACCGTGTCCTGGCGGGAGGGAGGTCTGCCCTGGCCCCCTCTGTCCAACACGCCTGCTGGTGGGGGCCTGTAGCGGTGACCTCCTGTGCCGGTGTCTGTTCTTTCCAGTGGTTTCCAGTGATAGTGACAGCGACTCGGACCTCAGCTCCTCCAGCCTGGAGGACAGACTCCCGCCCACGGGGGACAGAGACCTGAAAGGCGACAAGTCCTGCAGGGAGTCCGGTGAGTGGGGGAAGCACGCTGCTGGTGCAGGAAGCTTTGCTGCTTCCTTGGGCCTCCGCCCCCCACCCCCCCCACCCCCCCCACCCCCCCCGCAGGTGTCGGCAGAGCTTTTCTGGATCAGGAAGGAGAGTTGGCCCTGGGGCTGGGACAACCAGGAGCTAACGTCTTAGCACCACTGAGGACTCTGCCAGAGAGGTGGCTCGGGTGTGTATTCAGTGGGGGGAGGGGCGGTCCAATGACCCACCTGACCCGCGGCCTGCACACCTGGGCTTCCTCCCCCGGCTCCCTGTGAGCATCCCAAATGAGGTGTGGCCTCGTGAATGATGAGATTTGTGAGTGTGAACGGTGAGAGTCAGATGAACTCCCCTGGACTTCGGAGTCCCCTTGGCCCTGCCGGCAGCCTGCAGTGGGAACCCGTGTACGTACTGTGGCCTCTTGGGCCTCAACTTCCCACTAGTTAGTGCACAAACAGGGTGGAGCAGGGGGTCTCCAAAGCTGCTTCGGAAAGTAACATCTCTGAGCTCTCCTCAGTGACCCTGCTGTTTGAAAGAGCATTAATCGGGACCCCTGCTGGTGTGGCTCAGTGGATTGAGCGCCTGCTAACTGAAGGGTCTTAAGTTCAATTCCCTGTCGGGGCACAGGCCTGGGTTGTGGGCTGTGTCCCCAACTGGGGGCGTGTGAGAGGCAACCAACTGGTGTTTCTCTCACACATCAATGTTTCTCTCCCTCTCTTTTTCGCTCCCTTCCCCTCTCTGTGAAAATAATTAAATAAAATCTTAGAGAAAGAGAATTAACCAGGCCTTGAGGCTGGTGCAGACAAGGCCTGGGGGACACATTTTCCTCTTCTTTAAATCCACGAGGGGTGTCCCAGGAAGAGGGCCAGCTTTATTCAGAGTTACTGCAGAAGTCAGAACTGGGATATCTGAAAGATGGCTCCGGGAGGCTGATTTCAGTGCCTGAGAAAGCTTTGTAATAACTGCCCCAACCTGGAATGAAATGCCCCAGGGTGCTGTCCTGGGCCAAAGGCTGGGTGCCCTCGTGCCAGAGCTGACATGGAAGGAATTCCTGCTGGGATGACAGTGTGGGCTGGACCAGAGATGGCACACGCCTGGCACACGTACTCGTACTTCCACTCCTGGGCCCATGGCAGGCATTACTAGTTGATCACAATCCACTTTCCCACCAAGCCTGATGTGGCCTCAGAATCCTGCTCAGTGTAGTTTTCCAAGTAGCCAATGTCAGGGAGTGAAGATGACTTGAGGATGAAAACCGTTCTGGGACTAGATGATCTCTTCAGCCCCTCAGGCCAAAGATTCTACCGTAGGAAAGTGTGAAGGAAGCCTTGATTCCCGGGCCTGGTTCCACACCCGCTCCTAATCCCCTCCCTTCACACCAGCTCCCAGCTCTGACCAAGAGGGCCTAGTGGGTAGGAGAAGATGGAGTGCAACAGCACAGGCCCCAGCTCTGCTCTCTTGGCTGAGTGGGGAGCCTTGAGTTAGTAAAGGCAGCAACTGATAACCCATGGAGTTCACTGAAATATATACCCTCCCCCACACACACTCTCATTCCTTGAAGGCAAGAAAAATTCCTCCTCAAGGCCAATTTTCACATTGGTGACTTTACTTGTTCCTTAGTGAAAGGACCTGAGGGCCCACTCGGTGGCCTTCATGCGAGTTATGGTGGACTAGTCCACAGGGGCCAGAGGGTGGGGCCAGGGGTGGCAGTTCCCAGGGTAGGGGGCTGTGTGCAGACAGTCCCACAGACGCCCATCACAGACCCGCATGAGAAGGCATTACGTCAGCTCGGTTGGGCTGAGATCATCCCTGTCTCAGTTTATGATCCAAAGGGCCCAGCGCGGAGCCATTTGGGTTCACACACGGTCCCTTGCAGGTGGCAGCATGGAGCCCCCCAAGGTGGAGCTTGCCCGCCCACCCAGCCACCTGTCAGGGAGCCAGAGCAGCCTGGCCAGTGAGACTGGGACCAGCTCTGGGGACCCACAGAGGGGCACCCCTCCCTGGCCCGACCCAAAGGGCCCCGGTGAGTACCCAGCCACTACTTCTAACCCCCACCCACTGCCTTTCCCCCTCTCCCCTCCCTGGGCCCTCCTCCTCTCCCACTCCATCCTCCAGAACTGGAAAGTGGTAGACGAGGTTTCCAACCCTGTGTGCTCACTGAGCCCCGGGCAGGCACTGGGCAGCAGAGGCGCTGGACCCCACCCTGCCTGCAGTGGGCAGAGTGGAACTGCAGATCAGCCACGGCAAGCATCCCTACCCACCGTCAGCAGCCATAACCATGGGGTTGGCACCCTCAGCTTCAGAGTACATGACCTTTCATCCCTGTCTCCATGACAGTCATGAAACTCCCATTTCAAGAGAGAGCACCTGCTGTGCTCCAAGCAATCCAGCACTCACCAAGCCCCACAGTGTGCCCAGCCGAGGTCCTAGGTGCCCTTGGGGACAGCCCTTGACCACTAGAAACCTGCTGTGTAGCTGAAGAAGCCAACCAACTCACCCAGAACAGCCCAGCCCAGGGCAGGCCCGAATCAGAGGGAGAATTTGGGACCACTGAAGCTGTTGGCACTGGGGCCTGGCCTGCCCTTGTACTGCCAAGGTCAAATGTGTTCTATTGGAGGAGTAGGCAGGAAGCTTGGCACCCCCATTTGATGGGCGTGGGAACCAAGGATGAGAATCTGAGGCCCCACCCCTCTCCCTGCCTGCTGTCCTGGCCTGGCCAGCCTGGGATCCTCAATGGGGGTGTGTGGGGGGAGGTCCCCTCACACTCAAGCCAGAGAAAATCCTGCAAGTGATGTTCGGCCCCTAGTTTCTTTCAAGAAAGAAGCCCCGGCTGGACTGGGCGCCCTGGGGCAGAGGCTCCGCAGTGAGCGAGGCGCATGTGTGCATCCGCGTGGCAGCTGGCTCCCAGCTCCGTCACTGCTGGAGCCTGGGTGTGCCGCCGTCACCCTCCAGGAAACCAGTGTGGGGTCTCGCCCGCTCCCCACTCTCGGCCTCCCCCACCTACGATTCCCAGAAGCTGCAGGGCAGGGCACCAAAGACAGGCAGCAGGTGGGCAGGTCTGAGGGAGAGGGGCCCACCTCAGGTGTGGCCATGCAGTGGGCCTGCTGCCCTCCCTCTGGCCTCCTGAAACCCTCCCCAGGGGACAGTTTGGAACCAGGCAGGCCGGAGTTCCAGTCCCAGCCCTGCCACCCACAGACGTGAACTGGGGCGAGCCATAAGATTGAACCATGTGAACCTGCATTTTTATAGATAAAAAATTCGTGAATATTGGCAATTCAATATGACCCAACCTAATATCCGGCCTGTCTGCGCACAGTTCCACTGCCCCTAACGTAGGGCCCACATCACGTCCCTTTTGGGGCTGCGGGAGGGTGAATGCTGGTTGCACGTGGAGGGCCCGCCCCAGCAGGTCTTAAGAACCGTCCAGGGGCGCGGCCAGCGCACAGAGGGGTGGGGGGTGGGGGGGCGTGAGACGCAGCTCGGAGAGGACCAGCCCGCAGGAAAGCTGTGCGTTCCCACGTCTGGCAGCGGAAGATCACCGTGTTGTTACCTGGGTCTGAGGGACGCACTGAAGCGCGGGCAGCAGACAGCCGGCCCATGATGGGAGGCACAGCGGCGCAGGGTTTGGCTCCGGGCGCCAGCCCCCGCCCTCTTCGCACAAGGAAGCCGCCTCAGGTGTGGGGCTGTGACAGCGAGGAGCCCTCCTCCCCTGCTGTCAGCTCCATTTCATTCCCAAAGGTGCAGCTGTCACCAGGGAGGTGCCCAGCCTCTGCCCACCCTACAGTGGCCTCTTTTTTCTCCCCCCAAAGGCAAAAGGCACACCCGGACGAGCCCCCGGTGTTGACGTGGCCTCCAGTGCCCTCCCTGGGCAGAGGCCTGTCTGGTGCGTGGAGCGCGCTTTGCAGGTGGAAGAGGTTGAGCGAGAAAGAGCGCGTGCACGCCAGAGCCACACTCGTCCTGGCCCCTTCCGGACCAGTCCAGGAGGCCTCCCACCCAACCCCGTGGGACGTGACCCCGAGTCAACAAACCAGTGGGCTAAGTCCGCTGCCCCCACTCAGTGCCTTTCTGCACCGCTTCTCTCCCGCAAGCCCTTCTCACCGCCCACCCAGCCACTCCACTCAGCCGTAACCTTTATTTATTGTCCTCCCCGGGCCCCTCCTCAGTCTCACCCCCCCGCCGCCCCCCCCCCCCCGCCCCATGTGTATTTCAAGTTGGCCCTGGTCTTGGGTTGGGCTAGAAGGGCCTTCAGACCCCCTGGCAGGGCCCCCCATGTGCACTGCAGTTTCAGAGGGCTCTGTGCAGGCTTTCTCTGTGTTTGTGCTAAAATGGAAGAAGAAGCCCAGTCCTGAGCATTACCCTTCAAAGCTGAGCTGGGCCCCTGGAGAGAGCAGCGAAGCCCAGAGCAGGTGGGAGGAGACTCGCCCGCCCTTTCCCTCCGCCTGTAGCTCAGGGAGCTGAGAGCAGCAGCACCCACCCCTCCCTCTCTCCCTCCCCTTGGCCCAGGAGCCTTGGTGGGAACCTGGCTTTCTGTCCTTTCTTCGAGCCCTTCCCTCCGCCTCCCTGCTTCTCTCTGCCTCTCCCCTGCCTGTGGAGCTGAGCAGGGCTCTGGTGAAGAGTGAATTCGCTCACTGGAGAGCAGCCCTGGGCCCAGTCCCAGCTGGGGCCCGAAGGCTCCCCTACGCTATTAATTCACTTCTCTTCAGTGGGTTCAGTTTGGCTTGAAAAATACGTAATTCAGAGCACAGACAAATGCTCCTGGAAAACCCTTCCCTGAAGAGAGAGTAAATGTGTGTTTCTGTGTGTGGTTGTCCGGACCCACCCATCCTTCCTCTCCGCCCCCAGTGCCCCCACGCCCAGTCCTCCAGGCCCTCAGGCCCCCGCCGTTGGCTTTTGCACCATTACTACTGGCAGATGGTAAAAAAAAAAAAAAAAACTCACTGCTTCCCAGTGACAAGTTAGCCTCAGAATGAAAATAAAGATAGGATTTGTGTGGAGCCAGTGTGTTCACCAGAGGGCCACACTCGCTTGCGCCTCCGACCTGCGTCAGGAGAGAGACGGAGGGAGTGGTGGCGCGCTGACTGCTGGGAGACGTCCTGGGCTGCGGGGACGGGGCGAGCTGGGCCGTGTGTGTGAGGAGCTTACATACCTAACGCCGAGTGGGAAAAGCAAGCCATCTATGTTAAAAAAAAGTATACATACAAATAATCAAAGTGAGTCATACAAACTTATATGTACATATGTAAAAATGTTCGTAAAACGAACAAGGACTTCTGGGAAGTATGGTGGGCTGAACCATATTTTCTCTGCCCCCAAACTCCCGGTAAAATGCATAAAGGAATGAAAATGGCATTGACTGCAACAATGAAAAGATAGGAGAGGAAATGGCAGCACATAAGAAACACCTGGCCCTGGCCAGGCAGCTCCGTTGGTCAGAGGGTTGTCCCAGTACGCCAAGGTTGCAGGTTCGACACGCAGTCAGGGCACATACAAGAATCAGCCAGAGAGTGGATGTCTCTCTCTGTCTGCTCCTCTCTCTCTCTCAAATCAATAAATAAAAACTTTAAAAAAAGAAAGGTCTGAAAATTTGAGAGACAGTATAACTTGTTCAGTGCCTGCTCTCACTGCTTGCCAAAATGTCTGCCAGAGAGAAAGCCAGCCGTGAACAAGCCAGTTGCTCTGCAGCATCCGCCAAATGCTTAGAGCTGGGAGGGGCCCAGTGTCCCTCGGGTGGAAGTTCAGGATGCATGTGAAAACAGTATTGCTTGGAAGAAGAGGTTAGACCCCCAAGTCCCTTCTCCCAGCCCCCACAGCCTGCAGCTGCCCTGCCTTTCCAGGACCCTGGCGGAAGACAGGTTTACAGCTGGCCAGGGTGGGACTAGAAAGTCTGGATTGGCACCCCAACCCAGCCAGAGACGGAGGCAAGGCTGTGGCTAATGGGGGACACCCTCAGCACCCTCCCCCGGCTCACACCCAGTATAGGCACCCTGCCGTGCCTATACTCCAAGGCACGACATGTCTGTCTAGGAAACTGACCGAAGAGAAAAGCTGGACAGAGCCTGACGTGGGTGATGCCCCGGTCTCTGCCCAGCCGCCACAGGGAGACCCCGGGCACCAGCCCTGCCCCCGTGGACAGAGCTTCCCGTGAGCTTCGCTACACTGCACTCAGTGGGAGCAGCCGAGGGCACCAGCAGGGACCAAACCAACAACCAAAATACAGAGACCCCACCATACAGAAGAAAGGGGTCGAGTACAACCCTCTGCAAATACTCACCCACGAATAGGAAAAATAATGTTATTTTTCAAAGGAAGTATTAAAGCTCTTAAAATATACAAGTAATAGCAGAAAATTTTTTCCACACTGCTGTCTGTGTCTATGGGTTATGCATATATGTCCTTTGGCTAATCCCTTCACCTCTTTAAAAAAATATTGATTTATTTTTAGAGAGAGGAAGAGAAACATCAATGTGAGAGGGAAACATCAATCAGTTGCCGCATGCTCCCAACTGGGCACTGAACCAGCAACCTAGGCATGTGCCCTGCCCGGGAATCAAACCCTTGACCTTTGACTTTGCAGGACAATGCCCAACCAACTGAGCCACACTGGTCAGGGCTCCCTTCACCTTCTTTCACCCCTCCCCCACCCGACAGCTGTCAGTCTGTTCCATGTATCTGTGCCTCTATTTCCATTTTGTTTTTTTTAATAAACTTATTTTTAGACAGTGGAGAATGGAGGGAGGAAGAAAGGGAGAGAAACATCAATGTGTGGTTGCCTCTTGCCTGCTGCCAACTGGGGATCTGGCCCATAACCCAGGCATGTGCCCTGACTGGGAATCGAACCAGCGACCCTTTGGTTCACAGCCTGGTGTTCAATCCACTGAGCTACACCAGCTAGGAATGTTTGTCACTATATTTTGTTCATTAGATTCTACATACAAGTGAGATCATATGGTATTTGTCTTTCTCTGAATGGCTTATTTCATTTAGCATTATAATCTCCAGGTCTATCCATGCTGTCACAAAAGATAAAATCTCCTCCTTTTTATGACCACATAGTATTTCATTTTGTAAAATGTACCACAGCTTTTTTTATCCACTCATCCACTGACAGGCACTCAGGCTGCTTCCAGATGTTGGCGATTGTAAATAATGCTGCTATGAACACAGGGGTGCATATATTCTTTTTAATTGGTGTTTTGCTATTCTCAGGATATACTCCCAGAAGCTGGGTCAAAAAGCAGATCCATTTTTAATTTTTTGAGGTGTCTCCACACTGTTTCCCACAGGGCTGCACCAGTCTGCATTCCCACCAACAGTGCGCTCGGGTCCCCCTTCCTCCACATCCATGCCAGCACTGCCATCTGTTGCTTTGTTGACGGTGGCCATTCTCACAGGTGTCAGGTGGTCTCTCGCTGTGGTTTTAATTTGCATCTCTCTGATGGTCAGTGACAGCATTTTTTCATATGTCTATTGACCATCTCTATGTCCTCTTTGGAGAAGTGTCTGTTCAGGTCCTTTGCCCACTTTTTAATTGGATTGTGTGTCTTCCTGGTGTTGAGTTGTAGAAGTTCTCCATATACTTTGGAAATCAATCCCTTCTCAGATATGTCATTGGTGAATACGTTCTCCCATACAGTAAGCTCCTATAATAGCAGACATTTAAAAATGCATTAGAGGGAATGGAAGATGAGAGAAAACCTCCCAGAATGTAAAACACGAAAACAAAGATGTAAAAGTAGAAGAAAAAAAGTCAAGAAAATTGGACAACCCAAAGATAAGATCTGTGCAGAAGGTCTAACATCCAACTACTAGGAACTGAAACCAAGAAACAAAATACAGGAGAGAAAACTGTTGAAGAAATGACTCACGAATGTTTCCTAGGGCTAAAGGAAACGAGCTCCCTGGCGAGAGAACCCACCGAGTGCCGGGCACAGCGGCCCACTCTCACAGCCATGTGGATGGCCACCACCCTCAAGAGCAGCCATGTGGCAATGCCTGTGGATGAGGATGCACGTGGCCCGTGACCGCAGTGCAATACCCAACACCTGGGGCCTACCTAAAGCAGACTCTCACCCACTCCATCTGGGCCAGGGGCCAAGAGTGCGCGTCTGACAAGCTCCCAGGAGATGGTGCCTGGGCTGCCAGCTGGGGGAACACACTTGGAGTGGCGCTGGTCTGGGGAAGTGGTTGCCACCACTGGCAGCTCATTGGAATCACCGGGGCAGCTATGCAAGCACACCTGCTGGACTCAGCCCTGGAGGCTCTGGTTTAACGAATCTGGGGCACAGCCTTGGCATCAGGATCCTTTAAAGCTCCCCGCACAGTGTGCTGGCAGAACCAAAACCATTTCCCATAGAAGCTTTTCTATGCGGACTCCAGGAGACGTGCACAGAATGTTTGTAGCAAAACCTTTCTATTAACTAGAAATTGGAAACAGCCTAAATGCTGTAGACAGAAGAATAGACACATAATTGTGATACAGTGAACAGCACAGCGGACTGATGCAGTGATGAAAATAAGGGGCCACACTCAGCAAACATGACTCAAACAACACTGAGCAGAGAAACAGACGGCAGAAAGATAAATACATCGTGCCGCCGGCTATATCGAGACTTTTGAAACCCTCACAATGTTACATATTAACATATATTTTATGCAGTGAAAGAATAAAGAAATGCACGGAAGGATAAACAACAGATTTCAGGATACATCTTGAGAAGAAGACATGCTATTAAGGAAGGACTTCGACTTTGTTGGTAATGTTTTGGTGATCTCAGTGGCAGCGAGACGAGTTTGTAATATCTGTGTGTTACAGTGTTTCACTCTGTGTTGTACAGGGGCGGGCAGAAGTAGGTTTGCAGCTGGAGCACGTCCTCTAGCAGCTGCCTGAGAAAGAATGTAGGGGAGACCTTTCCTTAAAAACTGCACATGTCTGAAAATATCTTCCTTCTACTGCCACTGAGATTTGACTGGATGTAGCTAGGTTAGAAATCGTTCCCCGTCAGAATTCCAAGGATGCGGCTTCGCTGTAAATACATCAGAGATACCTCACGACGTTGTCTGTGTAGAACTTCTTAAACATTCATAACTGCAAACCTCCTTTTGCCCACTCCTGTATTTATTACATTTGTATTATTTTTGTGTCTGAAATCTTTCAAAAGAAAAAATGTAAGGAATTTCATCAAGCCTTCTTATAAAATTTTAGGACACTGGGATAAAAATCCCAAAGGGGAAAAAAGTCCAAAAACCTTCCAAAGTGAAAAAAATACAGGTCACATGGCAGGGATCAGAGGTTAAAATGGCACTGAAATTCTCAAAGTGGATTCCAAAGCCGGAACGCAGTGAGCAGCATCTTCTGAATTCTGACAGGGAATGATTCCCAATCTACTAGTGTGTCCAGCTACATCTTAGTGATGGCAGCATGGACATTTTTTCAGATGTGTGCGTGTGTTTTAAGTTTACCTCCCATACGTTCTTTCTCAGGCAGCTGCTTGAGGATGTGCTCCAACCAAACAAGGGAGACACCCAGGAAAGAGACTGTCAGGGAGGGACACAGGATACTGGAGATCCAACAGAGGAGAGGGGCCCAGGGAGTCCCCAGGGGGATGGCAGTGGCTCTCGTGACACATAAAACTGAAAAAGCAAGAAATAGGATCAGCATAGATTTCTGTGCAAAGGTGACCAGCAGCAGCAGTGGCTAAGAATTGGAAGGCTGCCTAGAGGGCCTTGAGAGGGGACTGGGGGCTGCCACCCTCGGCTACAAACTTCATAGGAGAGTTGCCCCATTTAAACTATATACTGTATTTCTAACAAGGAGATTTGATTTTTCATGGAAAATACACATAAAACTCAGGAGGAACCCCTGGGGTAGAGGTGGGAGCCCTGAGACTGGAGCAGGTGAAGGAGACAGGGACCCCCGAGGTCCCCTGTATCCAAATATGCAGCCGGGGGGCGGGGGAGGGAGGGCTGGTGCCTCTGCCTCCCGGCCCAAAGCTGCCTCTGTGCTGGGACCACCGGCCCCTTGGACCCCTCAGACCTGCTGGAGCACAAGCCCCCACACTCGGCTCCCACCAGAACCCTGAGTCTGGGCCAGACCCGGCCCAGGAGAAGGACCCAATTCCACAAGCTCTCAGGGCAAATCCCAAATGCTTTCCTAGAGGTGTGTCCTGGGATTGATGGGGTTCTTAAATGGTTCATGGAAGGTTAACCCCCCAAAGCCCAGGGCTTTGGGAGTGGGGGAGAGGGAATGCATCCCCCCACAGGGGTCTGGGAGCTGTCAGGAGTCAAGAGTTCTTTGTGGGCTGGTCTGAGAACCGAGAAATCCTTTCTTGACAAAAATGCCGAATCTCAAGCAACCAGGTTATAAATGAACTTTTGGAACTGAGCCTTTCGGGGCGCGGGGAAGGGGGTGGTTCTGTGTCGTCTGTTAAAATCGGGGAGCACAGAAGCGGCTTAATTTGTCCCCTGTAGCAGAAAAGCCAAGTCAGTAGCCCCTGAAAGAGGCGATGGGCGGGAAGCTCATGAACCTGGGACGGCTGCTTTCAAATTCCAACTCCCCCTCGGCGCACCTGGCCGGCGGGCCTTCCCTGTGCCCCCACTTCCCCCCCGTCTAGGAAACGAGGATAACACTTCCTTCTCGGGGCTGCTGTGGGAATCCACACCCCGCCGGGGCCCACACCACTCCTACCCCCTCTCTGAGTTACTGCTCCTGGAGATTTCGGTGTGCCTTGTCCCAGGACGAGAGGGTGTAAGGGCAGCAGCTGCGTGGGGCCTGGGGAATAATGGTGCTCGATCCATTCAATGTTTGGGGGCAGCTGCCAGGTGCCAAGCGCAGTGTCGGGCTGAGGTTCAGGCATCGACAAAATTGACGTGGCCCCTGCCCCACCCCCGGTGTTAAGACCCAGGGTACAGTCGCCACCCCAGAGCTTCTGGCTCAGAAGTCCAGGGTCCGGGGCGGGGCGGAGACACGGGTGTTTCGGTCCCCAGGGGACGCTGGTGCTGCTGGCTGGGAGGCCGCGTGAGAACCTCTGATCAGGGGGAGCTGACCGCCCACATTTGCTTGGACTGCCCTCCCTGACCCACCCCAGGCAGGGGAGCCCCAGGAGGTGCTGCAGCCCGGCTGGGAGAGAAAACGCAGCCCCCACAGGCGGAGGGGACCGACCTCTGATGGAGTCCTGCTGCTGGGTCTCACCGCTGGACAGATGTGCTGCCCCTGGCTGCTCCTCAGCCCTGGAGCCAAGAGCACCCACAGGCAGGGCAGGGTGAGGGCCACCTCCCCCACGAAGGTGGGGGCTGGCAGCTTTCCCGGTGAAAAAGCGCTCACTCGGGCGTTG